CATTCCACCCCCTGCCATGGGCAGGGACACCTTCCACCAGCCCAGGTTGCTCCAAGCCCCGTCCAACCTGGCCTTGGACACTTCCAGGGATCCAGGGGCAGCCACAGCTTCTCTGGGCACCCTGTGCCAGAATAACAGAACCACTGCCCACGGGACCCTCCACAGCACGGGGGTTCAACACCCCTTCACAACCTGGCTCTGCCCTTACCCACTGGTAAAGGCCAGGCCGGGTGAGCCCTGGGAGGCTGCGGTGTGGGGAGGGACCCAGCCTGCAGGAGGGACCCCCAGCCTGCAGGAAGGACCCCCAGCCTGCAGGAGGGACCCCCAGCCTGCAGCAGGGACCCCCAGCCTACAGCAGGGACCCAGCCTGCAGCAGGGACCCCCAGCCTGCAGCAGGGACCCAGCCTGCAGCAGGGACCCCCAGCCTGCAGCAGGGACCCCCAGCCTGCAGCAGGGACCCCCAGCCTGCAGGGCTGCACTAACGGGCCGTTTCCCCGCAGTGGTGCTGGCTCTGGCCGTGGCACTCGGGGCGCTGTGCCAGGCCACGCGCAAGGTGCGGACCGTGCTGTGGTGCGCCTTCCAGATGACCCTGCCCAAAGCCTCGGCTGCGAAACGCGCCCGGGACAGAGTCCCCCAGGAGCTGGCGGCGAGCGAGGAGAAGCGACTGGAGAGCGGCCCGGGCGCGGCCCCGGCCCCGGCCCCGCGGGGGCTGAGGGAGGTGGGCGCAGAGGGAGCCCCCGCCCCCTGCACAGACCTGCTGCGCGCTGTGTACGACAGAGGGGACGCCAGCGCCTCGTAATCCCTCATTCCTTTCAGTTGCTCCAAAGTTTCAACTGCTAATGTTCGTATTTAAAGCCGTATCTTGAGGAGAAGTGGGATTTGCCTTCGGGGCTCTCAGGTTAAGCTGTTAACAGGCGGGGTCAGATTGTTGTAAAGCCAAACTGGTGGATGTTAACTTAAAAAAATAATCACACTAATTCATTAACAGCCAAGATATTATTTATCTCCTTCTGGTAAACCCTGGTGTACAACTCTCCCGATAACTTTTTAGTTTTGCTTTTGGAAATAAGTTTTTTAATAATGGTTCTTAGAGACTGTGGTGTGGTGGGGTGTGAGATTGGTGTCAGATCAGATTGTAATGTGTTACAGTTTCCGTATCAAACTAAAACCTGGAAACAGGAGGAAAAAAGGCTAAGAATACCCAATATTCATGTCAAATTAGATATTTAAAATACAAATATTTATGAACTCGAGATTTTAGAATCTTATGTTTGCAAAAGGAGATGTATGCACCAGGTTCCACTAATTACCAATTATTGCCGTGTGAAACCATGAATGTAGTGAATGTGTTCGGATATTTGAGCATGCTCTTGGGAAGAAAGGAACCTCTGTTTTAAAGTATTTAAGCTTAATCAAACTACGACAGGCACACAGGATTGTCCTGCAGAGCTGTGCAGCAGCTGCAATAATGAGCGTTGTTTCTAATGAATTTAAATTTGGAAGAGGTAGCACGAAGTTCTGAAACTTGGGTTTTGTTGAAGTTAGTCTTTCACTAGTTTGGTTTGAAATTTGGTTGTCAGCCTTTAGGCTTCTTTGTTCCCCTCTGCCTTTGGGCAGCTCCCAGCACTGGTGTTTCCTGCAGCTCTCAGTCTGTAGGAGCAGGAGTGGCTGATTCACTGTGTGCTCGAGGAGGAGGAGGAGGATCCACCCTTGGGACATCGTGGGGGTAAAGTCACTGAGCTGTCCGTGCCTGGACACCCTGGTACTGACAGGGCTCTGTTCTTCCTGTGCTGGGAATGCTGGTGGGTGGAAGGGGTGATGGCACCCTATAAATTGTCATTGGATGATGTGACAGAAGCGACCGAGGAAGGCTCAGCAGAAGGTGGGTGAGCGTGAGATCACTGCAATGACCAGAAGCGCTGCCAGGGTGAGTGTTTTGGGGCAGAACAAGCACAACTTCATAGCAGTCACTGCACTGGGGTTTGTTCAGTTTAACCCAGGCTGTGTTGATGTTAAAGCAAAACTGACTGTACTGGCTGGAGTCGTCTGTAGGAAATAAATTCGCTTTTGCTGAAGCTTTTGTTCTGTCAGTGTGTTCCCAGGCTGGGCTCCTCGAGCCTGAGCTGGTTCTGGAGGTGAAACCTTCAGTCCTTTATGGAAGTGTGTTTAGGGGGATAAAGCAAAGGGGATGCTGAAATCATGGAGAGAGCCATGCCTGTAACGTTGGACATGCCAGAGGGAGCCAGAGTGGGGAATTTCTTTTCCCTGCAAGTGTCTCATGGTCTCCCAGCTTTGCATTGCCAGGGAAAGCTGATGCAGCAATTCCAGCATCTGCACTGGGATTCTTCGGGGTGAGTCCAGAGCATTGCTGCTCCATAAATAACTCCCCTGTGGTGGTGCCAGCCATGCACTGCTGACTGTCCTGGGTGGGCACCAGTGGAGCAGCAGCGCTCGGAGCTCCACAGGATGAGTCAGTGCCTGCCTGGGAGCCCAGACTGCTGGTGTGGGAACGGGGGGCCACTCTGGAGGGCAGAGGGGACAACCCTGGGGGGCAGGGGCAGCACTGTGGGGTGGGGGCAGCCCTGGTGGGGCAGGGAGGGGCAGCCCTGTGGCCTTGTTCTGAGAAGGATCAGCTCACTTGGGGTTTCTAACACCACTGCCTGCTGCCGTGGTGCTGCTCCTGGCTGTGGTTCCATGGCCCCAGGACAGTCCTGGAAGCTGCACCTCCCCTTGCTCCTGATCCCTGTCCCTGACAGGGCCTTTCCAACAGCAGAGCGAGGCCTTGGCCAGCCCGACACACCAGCCCAGCCCAGCCCAGCCCAGGCCGGCTGGGGCTGCAGGGGACAGCGGTACCTGCAGACAGAACTGCGGGGCTGAGGGAGCCTGTTCCCACCGTGTGTGTGACTGTGCCCTCCTCGTATCCATTCCTATGGAATGTGCACACACGTCCTGTTGTTCCTGGACAGAGGGGGCTCCTGCTCCTCGTGGGGAGGTGAACGCTGCCCCCTCACAACCAGAGGTCTCGTGTCCCTGCAGGGGGGCAGCTCCAGCCCTGGGATGGTGTTTTCCTTGGCACCCAAGGGCTGGGCAGGTCCGTGCCAGGTGGCAGAGCTCTGGGTACCCGCTCCAGAACGTCTGCTGGCAGGGGTGGGCAGCAAGTGAGCTGGAGTGAGATCACCCGGGCACCAACAGCTCCCAGCCCCGCGGGTGGGCAGAGCCTCCGCCCCGGGCCCAGGAGGTGAGAGCCGGCCCACCGAGTGCCAGCCCCTCCTTCTAGAGCTGCCCCCGCCCGCGGCAGCTGCCTGAGCCACTGGAAACACCAGGATCCAGCACAGTGCTCCAGGCCAGGCTGGGAGCCCAGCCCTGGGGAGAGGCACAGCCAGGACAGTGCCCGGTAAGGGCAAATGGGGCACCACAGCCCTGGGAAATGAGGCGTGAATGGAGCAGGACCTGAGCACGGCAGACACGGGACAGAGGGCACCGCACCACGGGCACCACAACGCGAGCTGCCACGTCACTGAGGCACGGGAACCACTCCTTGGCCAACCAGGTTTATTGTTCAAGTCCAAAGACAAAGCAGTTGCAGAGTCACACGCGCAGCAGGGGCTGGGGGGAGGCCTGGCCCTGCAGTCAGAGCGGTGCCAAGAGCAGGTGCCGGGTCAGGCACCCTGGGAGCTCAGCAGCACAGGAGTTCAGGAGCTCAGGAGGTCACAGCCACGGGAGCTCAGCAGTTCAGGAGCTCGGCAGTTCAGGAGCTCAGCAGTTCAGGAGCACAGGAGTTCAGGAGCACAGGGCACGTCGCAGCCAGTGGGCAGCCAGAGCAAGATGTGGCCCAGGGCCAAGGCACAGGGCCCCGAAATGCTGCAGCTCCTCCTTCCCCTTCATTCACAGCATTAGTGTTTTCCTTCCCAAGGGGGGTGCGGTGGTTTTAATCTAGGCCTTCCCTGCTTACCAGTTTGTAACCGAGGAAGGGGCAGTGTTCCCAGTATTCCATACCATTTTTATGTAAATCGTGGTATAAATAAAAAGGGAGGAGCGGCCTTCATTTTTTCTTCTCTTCCGCCGGAGTTCAGGAACAGTGGGTCCCTGCATTGGTCTTGCTTATCTAAGGCTGAGACCTGCAGCATCCCCTGACCTGCCACGTGGAGGCTTGGGGAGTGCTGGCCATGTGTGTGTCAACCCTGTTTCTTTCTAAGGGACGTGGTGAGATTTGTTTTACTAGTTATTTTACTGGTTCTCAAGTTTGATTGTGCATATCTATTTGGTGTCCCTTTTTGTTTCCTTTTGTCCCTTTTTCCCCTTTCCCTATCCCTTCGGGGGGTGTTTAGATTCCCATTTGCTGTGTACAAAGCATCTTAACTGTAATATACATAAAATATATTTTTTATATAACTAGCTTGGTTTTTGGGTTCTTCAGTTTGCATGGTTTTTTTCCTTTGCCCTGGGGGAAGTAAAAAGGGGGGAAGAGAGGGGCTGCTACTGGGGGGGTTGGGCATTTGGCAGGGAGCCAAGTCCAAACCATCACAGTGGGTCACAAGGAAGGCTGGAACAGCAGGAACGAGCCCTTTGGGGCAGGAAAAGCATCTGGACTCTGGTTCCTGACGGGAGCTGTGCCTGGGGAGAGCAATGGGCTGGTGACTCCAGCACATCCCTGGCTCGCCCTGCCCGGTGCCCAGACAGCCTCAGAGCTTCACCTTGGCAACAGCTGTGGAAATAACAGTCTATGTTCTCCCCCTCAGAACATCAGGGAGCTGGGGAGCACCATTTTCCAGCTACCTGGAGTCTTAAAATCCTGTAAGGAGCGTGGTTTGCTGCTGCAGAGGCCGATGCTCTGGCCCACGTGGCATTTCCCTCACCCACAGCCCACGGGTGATGCAGTGGCGTCGCTGCAGCTCATCTCTAGTTCACACACTTGGTTCCTTTGCTGCAGACCAGCACTGCCCACACTGAGCCCAGCTCCAGTCCTGCTCCAGCCCGAGCAGGGCCGTCCCGTTGTCCTTGGCAGCACAAACACAGGGATTTGCAAGGACGTTTTTCAAGGCTCGTGTAAATAAAGTCACGTCTGCCCCGGAGCAGCAGCGTGTCCTGACCTGACCAAACTCCTCCACCGTGCTCTGCTCTGGGGTGGTCAGAAGTACAAATGGATCAACTGAACACCATGAACATAATCACTTCACCCTTCTTTGGTACAGACACTGGCCACGAGCACCGACGGGGACACTGACACCACAAGCACAGGGCACACGGGGCCAGGAGCTGCCCAGAGTTTCTTTTCTGCTATTAACAAACCAAATAAAATAAAAAAAAAAAAGGAAACACCTCCCAAGAACCACTCCCAGCCACGTGCCCACAATTCCTGCTGCTTTTTTAAACACACACCGTATTCAGAATTAATTTTATCCCTCGAGAGTCCAACTGGGAATCACCGGCTACCGCTTCCGCTCGCCCTTCTGTGTCCGCTTCTTCTCCTTCCGCTCCTGCTTGGCCAGCTTGTCCTTCTCCCTCTGCAGTTTATCCTGCTCTTTTTTCCTCTGGAACTCATCCCGCAGCAGCTCCCGCTCCAGCTTCCTGGCGTTCAGCACGTCCTCCACGTTGGTGTTCCGGAACAGCGCTGGGGGGGTCAAGGGCCCACAACGCTCCGGCTGAGGAGTTCGTTCCACCTCCCCCCTCACCTGCCACCTCCCACTCCTGCTTCCTCACCAGGCAGGTAAGGAACTGGGGAATGAGGAATGGAGAAAGGAAAAGGGGTCTGTTTTTCCAGATGGAAAAGTCAGAATAAAGGCAGGCTCTGTGAGGAGGAGGGGTCTGGAGCAGCAGGAGCGGCTAAGGGAGCTGGGGTTGGATATTGGGAACATTCCTTCATGGAAAGGGCTGTCCAGCCCTGGCACAGCTGCCTAGGGCAGTGGTGGAGTCCCCATCCCTGGAGGGATTTAAAAGCTGTTTGAATGTGGCCTTGGGGACACGGGTCAGTGCTGAGGGATGGTTGGACTGGATGATCTCACAGGGTTTGTCCAACCTTAATGATTCTACGATCTTTTCCTAGAAAAATGAAGTTGCCTCCAGGTTCTTAAGACAGAATGTGTAAAAAAATATGTCAAACCTCTACAAACCTGAGAGGAAGAAAACACCCAGGGTACAGCCTCGAGTGGCTTCACTGCAGCTGTGAGACATGTTTTAACACACACACGTGTGTGTACATGCATGCATGTGCAGATACATACCTGTCCCTAATGTGGGAGCAAGAATAATTTACCTTTCATATTTAATGATGGGATAAAACCTGCTTCCATCTCAAACTTGCCAGCTGGGAGCTCAAGGACTGTCCCAAATCACCATCCTGAGATGGACATGGGACCCTTGGTCCTGCCCACCCGGGGCTGCGCCGTGGCCTGAGGAGCCTCATTCCTGGTATGATTTCCCTCTCTGGACATCAGTTAACATTAATCTGAGTTCTGGGGGGATTGTCCCTGTTGTGTGAAGCTGCAGGGAGGTGGAAGAGGGAAGGAAGGAACAGGGGAGAGGAAGGAGAACGGTCTGACAGGGCACTGGCACTGGCACTGCAAGGTTGGGCTACGTGGAGAGAAAAAACAGTCCCCAGGCTGGAAAGGTGGCCCTAAAGAAACAGGGAGATGAGCACAGGGAACAAGGATGATGGGAAGCTCCCCATGGGGGCTGCCTGCCTGCCCAAACAGCCCGAGTCACCAGGAGCTCAAAGGATACATTTTTCAGATCCAATGTTTACTGCTGTCCCAGTCGGTCCATCCTGCTCATCCCCACCAGTGAGAGAATTAAGGAATCAGGGACATCAGTAATGAACTTGTGCCTCTCCACACTCACACTGTGCTCCAGACACCTCAAATAACACCCTTATCAAGGCAGGAGGGAGCAGCTGAACTCACACAGACCAGGAAGGCACAACCCCCACCCTCAGCTCCTGCTCCTCCAGGGCTGGGTACAATTCCCTCCCACTCTCTCTGTACAGGGAAGGGTTCCCTCTTCAGCACCAAGAGTGACCCCCAAACCCTCCCACTCCACACGCACTCTGAAGAGGATTTTTTCAGCAGATTTCTCCTCAGAAAGCAAGATATAAACTCAGCACCATCTCACAGAGGGACAGGGGGTCTCCCCTGGGCTGGGCAAACCCTCCCAGCCTCGTGTTGGTGGGAGGAACACCCTCCAAGGAGCATCCGCTCCCGGCACTGCACAAACTGGGAGCTCACAGAAATTACTTTGCCACAGAGAAGAAGGACTGGAAAGTTTCCCCAGCTCTCCCCACCAGACCCTGCGGAGCTGGGAGGGTGTTGCTGTTGTAGGTTTTGTCCCCCCAAGCCCCGAGTCTCAGCCGGCACAGGGAAGGATATTCCTCCTCGTCAGTCACGTTGGCGTACTGGGCCAGCAGAGCAGCCTTCCTCTGCTTCTCCTCCTGGGAGGAGACCTCCTTGGGCTTCACCACGATCCTGGCCTGCTTCTCCATCATGCTGGCGATGGCCTGCACCTCATCTGGCAGGAGAGGAGGGCGGTGTCAGCCTGTGCTGCAGACACGGCCCCCACCCCGGGGCCTCCTCCCTCCACAGCCCCAGCATGTCCTGTGGGACAGAGAGCTCACCCACAGCGAGAGCTCTCAGCCAAAAACACCCCCTCCCTCCCACAAGCCTCTCCCAAAGTCAGAGCTGGCTGCTTTGGGGAATTCCAGCGGGGATCTGTGGGAGCAGCAGAGGGACTGGTTTGGGCCAGGACTGGTCTGGGGGTGACACAGTGAGGGTGACACAGTGACAACAGAGGGTGACAACGGCTCCTCCCTGCGAGGGGACTTCCCTGTGCTGTGCCAGCCACCTGCACACACTGTTATTCCTGGAGCAAGGGAAGATCCAGGGTGAAACTGGAATCACTCAGGCCCTGCCTAAGGAAAATCCATTTGACTCCAAATCATTCTCTTCCACTTGAAAGCAGCTTAATAAGTTTATTTAGGTACATATTTAAAAGCCCACCAAAGAGATATTTCTGGAAACCCAAAGTGAGAGAGCAGAGCCGTGCTCTCCCTTTTCTTCCAGCCAAGAGACACCAGCAGCTGATTTACCTTTAGCACCAAAATCCTCCTGCCCATTTCCTAAAACGACCTCCGAGTTTTGACACCAAATCATTTTGTAGCCTGTCAATCACTTACCCTCAGGATTCTGCTGTTCTGAGTAGAACACAGACTTCAGTGGGGATTTATCCTGTGATGGAACCCCAGTGAAATAATTAAACCCTTGAATTCCACGAACTCAGACACCCTTTGCTGCCCTTCTGTGACAAGACAAATCCCCGCGGGGTGAGCACTGACAGGGGCAGGAGGAGCCCAGCAGCAGCTCCAGCGATCCCAGCCACTTGTCCCCAGCAGGAATTTATTTTATTTGATGCCTGGGAAAGGCAAGGTCAGGCCAAGAATTTTTGGGAAAGCCACGGAGCTGCTGCATGGCGGAGCCGCCATGCCCGGGGGGTTGGGGGGACGCTGGGCTTGGCCACTGCCAGAGCCACTCCCGGGTGACATTGGGCACTGACAACGCGCTGTTTGCTACCAGGAGTGACAGCAACTGCAGAGCAAACAAAGCAGGGTTTAGCCCAAAGGGATGTTCCCTTGTCCTGGGCTCGGGTCAGCTCCCTGCTGCTGGAATGTCACTCCCTGATCCCGGTGTGCTTGGACCAGCAAATCCTTCCAGCACAGGGCCCAGGGATGGACTCGGGGGACACAGGGACAGTGGGACTGTACCCACAGCTGGGGAAGGAGCAGTGATGGTTCAGCAGCAGCCTCACAAGCATTTATGGGTAAAAAGGGAGTTTGGAGGGGAGATGCTGGAAGAGGAAGCAGGGATGTTTTGCTGGGGTCAGCAGCAGGCACGGCCCAGCTCTCCAGCTGCCTTCCAGACTGGCAGAAACTGGAGCAGCATAGGTGTTTTATGCCATAACTGCTGCATCTCCCCCCAGAGTGCAGTTGCAGTGCCAGAGCTGAGCAGAGACAGCCCTGGGTGCGCTGGGAAAAGTCCTGAAAAAAAATCCCAGAATGGTTCAGGTTGGACTTTAATGACCATGGCATCCAACCCCCACCAGCAAAAAAAAAGATCCTACAGGGAAAAAAAAATAACAAAAAAGAAAAAATAAACAAAAAAGAGCTTTTCCCCTGCAGGGAGATGAGCCCAAAGAGCAGCAGGGGCAGCCCAAAGCGAGGCTGCTCGTTCCCATTCCACAGCTCAGGATGAAACAGTAACTGAGCAGTGATGGAACGAGGGGCAGCTCAGCACCCCTGAGAGCACAGTACCTTCTTTTTCCTCTTTGGCATCAACAACCTGAGAGTCAGACCACTTCTCCACCACCTCCCTGCACACATCGTTCAGGAGATCTTCCTCCTAGGGAGGGAAAGGAGAGTCCTCAGCCTGGGGCTCAGACAGGAGAAGCAGCAGCTGCAGAGAACTGGAAGCCCCAGCAGTGAGCTCAGGACACAGCTTTTCACCCCCAAATCTGCTCAGAGAGCACACCCACAGGGCTCTGGTTCCCCATGATCCTGAGACAGGAGGGTTTCCAAGTGCCAGGAACACTCATGGCAGAAGGATCCTGTGAGGGGATGGGCTCCCCTGGGTGCAGGGAATGCAGGGAAGCAAGGCTGGCAGGATGAGAAGGGAATTTATACTGAGCCTGGAGAGAAAGCTGGGAGAGACACATTCCCTGGGCACCTGTCTCGGTGGGCAGGAGGAAGGAAATCAGGGAAGGGATTGTCAAGGCACAGGAATGGGAAATGAAGATTAACAACGAAACCGGCACAGATGAGGTTGGTTTGGAGTTCAGTGAATATAGACAAAAAACAACCATGGAAAATACAAGAGAGCCAGGTTCTGTCTGGTTTGAAGGGAAGAATTGGACAGAAAAAGAACCCAGTTTTAAATTCCTTGATTAGAAATGGTGACACCTTAATAAAGTCATGAACTAGTGCAAGGCATGGTCAGGAACCACAGACACGAGTCCAGATGTCACCTGAGCTTCACTTTCATAAGGGCTGTGAAAAACAAACAAATGAACCAAAAAATCACCTGGAATTTGTACACAGAACTAAGAGAAAAGACTTGGCAAGAAAAGCCCCGATTCACCAAATTGTTTCACAAGTCAATAGAGAAATAAGCACAGAATCTACAAATAAAGGGGGGAAAAAGAACATACTAAAAAGAGTAATTACAAAGTCTGAGTGTTCAACAGACAAAAAACGTTTCACAGGAACTGCAGAAAAATCAAACTGAGCTGGAAACTGCAAAGAAAGAGAAGGAACAGGCTGTGGTGGGACAGGGACAGGGCACAGATAGCCCTGGGAACTCAGGACTGGGGAGGAAAGGGAAAATAGCCCCAACTCAGAATGCCAGCAAAGGGAAATCCCGTCCTGCAGTGCCCTGGCTCTGTCCCCGGAATGTGGCAGGGGCAGAGACGAGCCCTGAGCTCTCCCCGCGGCTGTTCCTGCCCGTCCCGACGGACACCACGTGGGAGCAGCTCCCGGCACCCTCCCAGAGCTTCGCCGGGGGATTTACCCTTAAAAGTCGCCTCTCAAACCAGGCCAGGGCTCCCCCAGGAGTGACCCCCGAGCCCCGCACGCAAATAACGGGGATCGCCGTGCCCCCCAGTGCCCCCTGCCAGAGCTGGCACAAACCCCTGCCCGGCCACCACAACCCGCCGAAAACACCCCGAGGGGCCCGGGGAGGGGACAGAAAGGCCCGCAGAGGTGTGTCCCTCCCCGGCAAGGGGGTGATCCAGCCGGGAAGGGGGTGATCCAGCCGGGAAGGGGGTGATCCACCCCGGGAGCGGCCCCGCCTGGCACCCCCTATCCCGCGCCGGACTCCACGGAGCCCCCCCGGCGTCACCTCCCGGGCCGTGTGGGAGCCCCGGCGAGTCCCCCCTGCCCCGGTTGCCCCGGTTGCCCCGTCCCTCACCAGGCAGGCGGCGAGCACGGCCCGCAGCGCCTCCAGCCGCTCCTCGTCGCTCTCCTCCTCCCGCAGCAGCCCCTCGATGTAGGCGCCGTACACGGCGCGGTCCAGCCCCAGCGCGTCCAGCCGCGCCGCGAGCCAGGTCGGGAACGGCGGCGGGGCCGGGACCGAGATCGGGATCGGGATCTGGTTCGGGATCTGGTTCGGGATCGGGGCCGCGGCCGCCCCGCCGGGCGCCGCCATCTTGCGCCTCCGGAGGGGTGGGGGGGGTACGGTGGCCGCGCGGGGACAGACTTGTGGCGGCGGCGGGGCCGGGGGTCGGGGTCGGTGCCCGAGCGAGGGCGGCGGGAGCGGGGGGCGATTCCGAGTGTCCCCCCGGTGCCCCCGCACGGCTCCTCCTCCCCCCGGGCAGCCGCGGGGCCCCTCGCGGCCGCCGTGCGGGGCGGGGCGGGGCGGGGCGGGGCGGGGCGGGGCTGGCGGCGCAGTTTGAACGCGAACGGGCGGCGGGAGCGAAGCCCCCTGAGAGCGCCATGGCGGGCCCGGCCCCCGGCAGCGCCCGGCCCCTCCGCGGACAGTCCTTCTACCTCGACCTGCCCGCCGGCACCAGCGCCCGGCACCTGGCGGAGGCCATCGAGCGGCTCGGCGGGGTGAGGGGGCACCCGGGGCGGGGGGAGCTGGGACTGGGGGGACACCGGGATGCGCTCACCCCGCTCCCGCCACCCCCGGGGGTCTCAGTGACTGGCGGCTGCGGTGGCCCCCCCACCCTTCTTCCTCCGTTTCTTTCCATGCTCTTTAAAAAAAAAAATATCTGATTTTCTCATTTTCCCGGTGGTTTGGTGTCGTTCCCCTCCCCGGTCCCTTGGCAGCCGGAGCCCCTCGGGGTGGGGGGGGAGGTCGCCCCCCATCCCTGTCCTTGCAGTTTGACAAAAAGTCTTTCTATGATCTTGACGTTAAAGCCATTTCAGTCCATCACACACCCCCCTGTGCCAGAGTCCCTCGGGGGTCTCTGGGTACTACCATCCATCCATCCTGCTCGGGACCAGCTCCCTGCAGACCTCTCCCTCTGCTTCCAGGTGCTTCCCGGGCTGCCTGCTCGGGCCAGCACCGTCTGGGGGGTGGTGGCCACCACGGCAGCAACTTCCAGGCGGTGCTGAGCAGCTCCCTGGCCCCAGAGGTGCCTTCCAGGCGGGCGTGACTGCTCGCTTGGTCCCGGCAGCGCTTTTCCAGCAAATGGGAACTGGTTGCCCAGTCATGGGGGCACCTCCCAGGTGGTGGTAACTGGTGCCTGGCTCCCCCTCATCACTCACAACAGCCTGTGACTGATTAATTTTTTAGGGAAGCTGTGGAACTTCTGCATGGAATTCAGCATAGGGTAAAGCAGGGAAGCAACAGCCAAGGTTCTCGTGCCTTTCTCGTGGTTTTCCCAGAAAAGCCATCTGGACCCTCTTCCCTGTGAGGCTGTTGTTTGAGTGGGTCCACGTGACATCCTCCATGGCCTCCAGGCTTCCCGGCTGCTGATATTCCTCATGAATTCCTTATATCCTCCCTCAAGGCCCTTCACAAAGTAGCATCACCTCAGTCCCTGGGCTGGAGCTGAGCACGGGGGTTGTACCTGGTTGTTCATCTATTTCTTTATTACTCTTGTGCACAATCTGCTCCAAACAGTTGTTGCTATTTGTTTTCAAGCTCTTTAGTCCCTCTGAGGTGATTTGTCTCATGTCACCCCAACATTTAAATCCTCCAGTGTAGACACAGAGGTGAAATCTTCATTTCATTTGCTGCTGTATCTGCTGCCAGGATCACGTGTTGGCTGCACAGACACGTGGGGAAGTGCAGTGCCTTGCACTGTTTTCTCTTTTTTTAACTGCACCACCATCCTGAACTTGCTGTTTTCTCTCTGCCCTGCCCTGGCTGTGCCACCCACACTCAGGGACACTGCTCACAGCATCTCACCTAGTTGTGCACCTTCAAGTCTGAGAACCAGCAGTCAGTTATTTCTCCTTGGAAATAATTCTAGCCTTCTTCTGCCCTTCTGATTCCTGTCAAACACCATCCTGGGTCACCTCCCTGTCTGAGAGGAGGCACTCAGGGAGTGCAGTTCTCATTCCTCTTGCTGCTGTGGAGATGCTGAACCCAACTCCCCCACGGCCACCTCTTTGGCAGCACTATCCCAGCCCAGGTCCTGGGTGACGTGGCCTTGGACTTGCCTGTGGCGCCTTGAGCTTCACCTTGGCAGGGGGCTGGGGACACCCTGGAGTGGTATTTGGATGGGGATGTTGTGATTCCCTCTGTTCTGTGCTTCCAGCCCCACTGATCTCCTGTGACAGGGGTCACTGCTGCAGGACAGCCTGCACTGTCCCTTCAGCACTTCCCATGGAGGGAGGGGGTCTGGGATCATGGTCAGTGGGGGTTCTGTAAAAGAGCAGAACCAGCTTGTTCAGCAGCTGAAGTTTTGGACTGCCCAGGTCTTTGTCTTCCTGGAGGCCTCATACCCATGTGTTAGTGCCCTGTGCCTGCCTTCTGCTCAGCTTCTGAGAGCCCAAGTCATTATGGACTTAAAATCTCATTAACTTCGGGGTTTCCAGCTCTTCCTTGGGCTTGTAGCTCCTGTTGTGTGTGTGTTCTGTCCTGCTGGTTCCCTGTTCCCTGGAGCTGCTCGCCCCAGCCCTTCCCTTTCTCCCTGATTTTGCTAAAACACGTCCTGCTCTCCTGAGGACAGAGCTCTTCCACCCTGACCCACAGAGTCCAGGGCCTTCTTCTCAGCTATTGCCTTTTTCTGACCCCCCTGCTTGAGGGGGAGGTGATGGGGGACAGTCACGGGGTGTGTGGATCTGGAGGTTCTGGTGACTCTGCTGTGCTCCCTGAGCAGGACGATGTCTCCTCCTGGGGGACAGCCCTGTGGAGTGGAGGAAGGAATGCTTGGAGGTATTATGAGCGCTTCCAGCAGCCCCTCAGCGTGTGGGGGGTTAAACCAGAGGCAGGGCTCTTTCAGCTCACAGCTGGACACTTCCAGAGCTTGTCTGTGCTGTGTCTGCAGGTGACCGAGAGCTTCCTCAGCAAGGAGGTGACGTACGTGGTGTCCAGCAACAAGGAGGCCAAACGGGGCAGAGCCGGGACTGGGGATGGAAAGCAGAGCAACCCAACCTCAGGAGACACCAACCCCACGAGCTCAGGGCCTGCTGCCTGCAGAGGGAACCCACCCAGACCTCACCAGAAGCCACCAGACACTGTAAGAGCTGTGAAGGTCTTTGGCCACCTCCAAGTTCGTGCCAAGGGCTCTGCAGGGTGCAGTCAGTGTTGGGAGGTGAAGTCAGTCCTGCTCTCTGAGCAATCATGACTGGGGTCCTTTCCCCCCGCTCAGGCTGTTCCTGTTTGTACCCATGTGCCTTTCCTCTGCCATCATTATCCTCTCAGATGTGCACGTCACAGCTTTGGGCTGGGACCAAGGAAATCTGCTGGAATGGCAGAGGAAATGGAGGGCTTGGCTGGCTTCCCCAGGGAAGGGCAGAGGAGAAGCCAAGGGAAGTGTTGACCAGATAAAACCAGATAAAAAAATTGCAGGCTCTGGATGTGTATCCACAGACACAGGGCAAGGCCACTGTACCCTGGGAGGAGATCCACAAGGCATCTCCTCCAGGAAGGGGGTTTTCTGGATCTTGTTACCCTGAGCTTTCTGCTCAGCAGTGCTTGAGGCCAAAGGCCAACATCCCTCTTGGAAAGTGGAGTCTGCTGGAAGCTGTGATTGGGATGAGGCTGCTGCCCCACTCCAGGCCCATGGCATCTCTGCCAGCCTGGAGCTGGTCCACCTGCAGTGGGAAACCTGAGCTACAGGGGCTGCACCCAGTGCTTGTCCCTGTCCTGGCTCACAGCACTGTCCCCTTGTCTTACCAAGAGCTGAACTGATCTGGGACCACTGGCTTGCAAATAAGACTGTTCCCAGGAAGGAAAGCAAGAATGTCCCTGAGCCTGGCCAGCACGTTGGGATACCTGGAGAAAAGGAGGCTCAGGGGGGATCTTACCTGTCTACAGCTCCCTGACAGGAGGGGGGACCCAGGTGGGGATCACTTCCTTCTCCCAGGTAACAAGTGACAGGACAGGATGGAATGGCCCCAGGTTGTGCCAGGAGAGGTTCAGCTGGGGTATTTGGGAAAATGTCTCCACTGACAGGCCTTGAAACAGGTTACCCAGGGCAGGGGTGGAGTCCCCATCCCTGGACATGGGGCAGTGGTGGCCTTGGCAGTGCTGTGGGAATGGTTGCACTGAATGACCTTAGAGGGCTTCTCCAGCCCCAGCAATTCCATGATGCAGCAGCAGTTTCCAAGCTAAATCACTGCTTCCTCTTGGCTCGCTCCAGAGCCTTCCCTGCCGGTCGATAATTCCGAGCCTTGGCTGGTGCTGTGAGTGCAGAGCCAGGGGGGCTCTGCGGGTTTGCTCCCTGCAGGTGCTCATTCCCAGTGGCTGTGACAGAAGCCTTGGCCAGGCCCTGCTCCCCAGCAGCCTGGGGGTGTGCCCAGGAATCATTCCCACTGCCCTGCTGTGCTTTGCCATCACCTGGGCTGTGTCTCCTCTCTGCAGGCCCTGCTGAGCCGGGGGAAGGAGCTGCTGCAGAAGGCCATGAAGAGGCAGGTGAGCAGCACATGGCCGGGCCCCCCTCGGGCTGGGTGTGCTCAGAGCTCTGCTGAGCAGTGCACAACCAGTGCCAGCCCTCCTGCAGAGCCCCTGCCCTGCTGACAGGGCACATCCTGGGGCCAGGAGAGGCACGGAGCAGTTGCTTGTGGCCTGCAGAAGGTTGTGTAATCCTCTTGTCACTGCTCCTCGTGGAGCTGTGCCATCCGTCCTGGATGGGCGACACCCCAACCTCTGAGGCCCATCCCAGCCATCTGGGTGCTCAGGACAGGAGAATTATTGTTAGATGAATTTTTAGCCTAAAGAGAACTAAAGCCACGTAGCTGGGACAAAAGGCTCCCTGCAGTCCTTTCCCTGATGTCACTCCAGACCAATCTCAGTGCCCACTTTGAAGCTCATGCTGTAACAGGGATTAAAAATTTGCCCCAGGTGCTGCTGTTAATTTGGGATTGATAAAGCATGACTTCAGACCTTTTTTTCTGCTGTGCCCTGATTTTAATAACAGCTACACCGTGGTCTGTCAGTTGGGCAGCAGGAAAAAAAAAAAAAAAAAAAAAAAACCAAAAAAAAAACCCTAAGTCTAAGCTCAATTTGGAGCTGCACATGTCCCTGCTCTGAGCTGTGCTTTGCCAACCCTCTCTGTGCAGGACGCCTGCAGTGGCAGCAGCATCCTCGCCAACGCTCGCCTGTGGGGAGTCCAGATCCTGCACGTGGATGGTATCCTTAACTGGGGGTGGAAGGAGGCTCTTGGAAAACAGGGATCTGTGAGACAGGTGGAGCAGGAGTGATGTCAGGAGTGTGGAACTGAAGGGAGAGACTGCAAGGAAATACACGGGGCTGGTGCTGTGCTGGCTGAGGCTGGGTCTGCCCCACAGCACCAGGTGAATTCTGTGTGCAGGACATCCCCCTGTCCACAGCAAACACGGGGTGCATCACAGTGTCCTGGAGCTGGAACGTTAGAAAATGTTAATAGCTTGGTCAGTGCATCAATGTGCTCCAAAAAAGACCACTTGTACTAATTAACCTGGAAGCACAGATCACGAGGAGGGCAGGGTGTGGTCGGTTTTAATTAGGGCCTGTGCTGGAAGGCTCTCCCTGTGCCTGTGATGGATGGTGGGGGGGTGATGGGGAAGACAGATGGTGGAACTCTGGTTCTAATAATAGGTCTGGAGTAAAAGGTTCCTGAGCGTCTGGTGACA